GGTGGCCTTGGCAGGGCTGGGAATGGTTGGACTGGATGAGCTGAAAGGGCTTTTCCAACCTGGTTGACTCTGTGATTCTATGAAACCCTCCCTAGGTGCCAGCACCACTCCGATGGTAACGTGCAGTGAGCTCTGCAGAGCGTGTGTGTTTTCTCACAGCACTGTGGGTGTCTCGGCTGGGTCTGGCCCCCACAGCTCTTTTAGCAGCGCTGGGATCCTGCTGTCTGCCTTCATGAGAGGTTGCTGATGAGAAGCCTGGAAAAACGAGCAAGAGAAACGCTGTTGGAGGAGATGAAGGGGACAGGTTTCTGGTTAAAGATCAGATAGGAGAATGCCAAGGTCTTGTATCTGGCCTCATCTCCACTGCGGATGGCTTGGGTGACCTTGTGGAACCCCAGTGATGGCTCTGAGCCTCTGTGAGAAGGCTGCAGCCACGCTTTGTCCTGGAGGAAGCCAGTTGTGAGGTGAAGCCATTTTTTCAGCTGTTTGCCCACCACTTGGGATTATTTGTCTGTAGGGGTGACTGTATAGCAAACCTGCCTGATTCAACATTGCCCAAAAGCTGTTTGTGTCATCATCTGATTGTGGTGTTTTCCTTGTAAAGATAAAGGCCTCGATCCACAGAAGTGTTTCAGCACTGGGAGCCTGTGGGAGCTTTCACATGTTGGTGACCAGGGCTTGTGACCAGCCAAAGTACGTCAGTGTGAGGAATGACGGGGTCAGAGCTCTCCTCCTCCCACGAGCTTTCTTTACTTGGATCTCATCTTCCTGCCACTCATTCTCCATCACTAAGGTCTCTCACAGGAGTTTCAAAAGGCTTTTGTCCCTCTTGGTTGACGTGAAGTTTAGTGGGGACCTTGTGAGCCGAAGCCCATGACCCAGCGCTGTGGGATGCCATCCTTCATATCCCACTCATGCCTGTATCCCATGAGATGGCATCTCTCACATCCCACTCCTGCCCATATCCCGTGAGATGGCATCTGTCATGTTTTACTCCCACCCATATCCCCCACCCATATGCCATGGAAAATGGCATCTTTCATGTCTTACTCCTGCCCATATCCCATCAGATGGCATCTTTCACTTCCCACTCCTGCCCATATCCCATGAGATGCATCCTTCTCATCCTGCTCTCGCCTCTATCCCATGAGGTAGTATTTAAACTGGTTAAGTAACCTGGAAAGTGAGGCCTCGCTGTGGGCATTCACACTGGCAGGGCAAGGCAGGTTGCTATAAGACAGCAGAGGAGGTGGTGGTGGCAGAGTCCGAGCAGATAGCTCCCATCTTTGGTCTGCTCACATAGCAAAAGGGAGATGGCATCAGCTTTCCACCTCTGATAATCATGAATTTAAGGAGAGGAGATGGTGCATTCACAGCTTCGTTTTGCTCTCTGTGATTCTTGTGGTCAAAAGGCTTGAGGGGGGAGTCCCATCTGGATGGTGCTGAGCCGCAGCTGGAGCCATGCTTGGCCAGCAAGGGGTGACTTTTAGGGAGCTGCAGGCTCTGCATGGGCTGTCTTCAGGCTCTGCATCTCCCTGCTTGCATCAGCTCATGCAGCAGGGACAAGGGGGTGCAATGCAGCACCAGCTCCCCCATGCCCTGCATGTCCTGCAGCACGTGAGGAAGCCCCGTGATGCCATTCCAAGCGAGGCTGATAACGTTTAATGGAGAAAGGAAATGATTTTCGACCACAGATTGCACTTTTATTTTCGGAATCCTGGCTGCTGTTGTGCAGTGTATTGCGGCCAACAGTCACCAAGGACGTCCTAAAGCAGCGAGTGCTGCGCATCAGCGGCAATTCCTTGCTGTGATCTCTATCACATCTGCAGTGCAATGGGCTTTGCTTTTGATCTGATGCTAAAAGGACAGCTACAGCTTCCTAATAAAGTCACTGCATATCAGTCTCAAGTGAAAAATACAGAAAGGATCAGATCTTGACATCTGGGTTGTGAATATATATTTGTAAGAAAAGGATTTATTAGGTGCAGAGTGACATTACAGATTGAAGGTTATTATTAGTTTATTCCTGAAAAACAATTCTACGTTGTGAAGGTACATTTTGCTACATTGCTGCATTTTGCCCTTCACCGTGTAGAGGAGAAATATCTATCATCACACTGAAAAAGTGAAAAATGATGCCTTTCAAAACCCCTGTGTGAATACTTGCTTTGGAAATCCTCAGCCTCTGTAATGGAAAGGATTAAACCAAAGCAGAAGTGGAGAAGAGCTACTGCCTACTTTTGGCTTATTTAAATATGCACAGAGCTTCCTCCATTTTAATCTCCCTCATCAAAAGATGGCTGTGTGACTAGAGCTAGCATCGGGAACCAGCATCGTTTTTGTGTCAGGGAGAGCAGCTGAGCAAGGCTGATGTGGAGTGGGGACCCCCTTCAGCCAACTAAGCAACCGGGACCATTCGTAATCCCTAAGTGCTTCCAGCCTTCCAGCTGAATACATTTGGATTAGTTCTCGTTCCTCCGTGCAGCCCCTGATTTCATTATTCTCTGCTGCGAGCAAATACACCCACGTTCAGCCCTCTGCAAAGATGCTCTGCCAGGCTTGGCTTTGTCTGGGATTAGCAACCGCCGGGTTTGGGGGGATCTCCGGCTCTGGTGGATGCTGCCTTCTGTGATTGACTGGGGAGGGGGTGTCCGTGTGTGCCCGAGGAGCATTCCCAACTGACCGGCGACTTCTCCCTGAGGATTTGTGGACGGTGCCAAGGAGTTTTCCAAAATGCCTGAAGCCAACTATTTATTGTCTGTATCTTGGGGTTATATTAAGGTGGGTTTAAATCCTGAAGGCTTGTAAGTGATGATTTTTTGTGCTGTATTGCTTAGATAAAACATCTATAAGGAGAATATGCTTTTATGTGGTTATTTGTGTGTACTGCAGGGCAAAAGATGCACTTATATGTGTACCGTGCATGCAGCTTACATGTATGTAATTTTTTCTCCCTTTGGGAATTCAGTGGTGCAGGATAACATGATGCAGCAATGAAAAGATGTGATTATAAAGTTAGGAGGATCGTAGCATGTATCTCTGGGTGAATAAATGCTTGAATCCAGCATTGTACTGCAACGATCCAAGCAGATGTTCAGATTTATGGCATATTTCTCCTCTGTTATGTTCTTATGCAGTTGTCTTTTACTTGCATAATAAAAAATGGAGCAAACTTAGGAAACGCAGAACAAAAGAAGGTTATAGGATGTGGGATTTAAAACCTACACAAGAATTTGATTGTTCAGAGAGATTACCTGAAACATTATCTTCTCATTTCTTGCAGTAAAAACTAGTATGCATCTCTGGAGGAAATGAATTTTGCTGTTTAGTGTACTGAAAAGAAATCTCTAGTCATGCTGGTGCTGAGCGGTGTCTAAATGAATCCATATGTAGCTGACTCCATTCCAAATACCTGAGGATTTTGCTTTTAACATCTCATTTTGAATTCACTTGTGATAAAGCTGTATTAATCTGGAAAAGCATCCCAAAAAATACCATCTTTGTGTATGTGCTCTTTCCATCCCAGTTCAAGAGG